GAAGCTGGAGCTGGACAAAAGAAGCTGGAGCTGGACAAAAGAAGCTGGAGCTGGACAAAAGAAGCTGGAGCTGGACAAAAGAAGCTGGAGCTGGACAAAAGGGCCAATTATGTTTCATTCCTTCGCCAAGACAATAAACCAAGCTCAATGTTGACTTTTCAAGTGGATTGGGTGGATCTAATGCTGAATCTCAGTATCATTTTGTTTTTATGGACAAACACCAGAATATATGAAGTGGATGTTTTCAGGTGACGTAGTTCGGAGCTAAGGAGGTGCATTAGAGGAAATGTATGCCAACTTTTTTTAGTTTCAATGTCGAGACGTTCACGGAATGGGAAGTGTGTTACCTTCGTCCCCAACAAAATCATATTTCGTTGGTAAACGACGAAAAAAGAGGCGATTCTAACGCAAAGTGCGGATAAGTAGATCATATAATGGTAGGCGGTTTGTCTTCACTTAAATTGTCTTGGAAACATAGCCTGTCTGCTTTCACATTATTACACCTACATATTTCATCTCGTCTTAACTTCCTTACGTTGCCGGCATGGTCTAAGAATTTCAAGAGTTTTGTGCTCAGCACCGCTTCTGCGGATTATTTGTCAGGCATATTCTAAAAATGCTTATAAAGTTACAATAAGAGTTAAATACTTAACAACAAACCTTAAAAAAAAATTCCAGTCAAAATTATCGTCTTGAAAATATACCCCCCCCCCCAAAAAAAAAAAAAAAAAAAAAAAAAAAAAAAAAAAAAAAAAAAAAAAAAAAAAAAAATACCAAACAAAATTATCGTCTTGAAAAAAAACCCCCCCCCCCCAAAAAAAAAAAAAAAAACAAAGGGAAAAAAACACAAAAAAAACAAACAAGAAAACAGCCACATTGCGTTCTTGCACAGGTTCTCAAATCATTTCCATCTTTTATATAAATCATAGTAGCCGGCACCCCGATAAATTTATTTAGTCCATTAGTAATAACAGTTTAAAATATAGTAATTCAAAGGTTCGTGAAAGCTGATACGGAAATATTAAATAAAAGACTCATCACTATCTTTATTATCATTAAATAAACAAATGTGAAATAGAATACTATACCTAGATACATCTTGGTCATGTCTATCGATTCTGTAGATGAAATATTAAGCATAAAATAGAACAACCAATTGTAGACAATTATAATCAGTCTGAAAGAATTCAGATAAAAGATACTAGTTTTTCATCATCCGTTTATAAATATCTCTATATTATGTATCTAAATATGTGTATATATATATTTATATATTTATAAGATGGATAGATATGTATAGAAATAGTCATCCATCTATCAAGATAACCACCTGCCCATGTAGGCTTCTACCTATCTTTCTACTCACCTACTTATCTATCTTCAAATCTTACTTTTTTAAATATCTACCTATCCACTTACCTGCGTACCTACCTACGTATTATCTTATCTAACTGTATATACACAAAGTTTTAAGTTTATTTTCAATGGACTGTTTAAAAGCCTCACCTCTTTTTTCGAACTTAGTTCTCGTGGCAGTGACAAAAAGTCTAGTAGAGAATCATGTGGAAGTCTGGGTTGTTTTTTTTTTAACCTTTATCTAAGTCTCAATCGCCACTGGCTTCAGCTTCAACCAATCACTGGGGACATCTGATATGTCAACACTTCTTGTGAACCTACCCATCGAGATGAACCAAGCGTCTGTTACCATCCAAAAAAATATTATTTCCTTGTTCATATTCTATGTTAATCAAAACCAGCTACAATATGCTTTTTAGTAGGCCTTCGCGGTAGAGCGGATTTGGGGCTGGGGGTAGGGGTGTGGGGGGGGGGGGGTGGGGGTTGCGGGGGGGTTAGTGGGGGGGGGGGTTTTCCATCCAAGATAAACAAATATTTTAAGATTTCTTTTATAGTTTAGTTCAACTGGAAAGAAATAAAAAATCAAACTGATAAGAAAACAATACACAGGAAACGAAGTTATTTGCCAGGATGTGCTTCCTAGAAGAGGCGTCTTGATAAATTATCAGCTTCTCATAAGCCTGGAATTATTTATTTTTATTTATTTTTTTTAATTTTTTTTTTTTTGGCCTTACGCTTTACATATAGTTGAGAGCAATTTTACAGACAATTTGAGCGAGAGGGATGTTAGATTCAAATATAATGTTTAAGTAGAAAATTTCAAGTTATTTTATAATTTCATCACATCTGATAATTATGGATAAGTGAAGGGTCGCGTTTAGCAAATTTTCAAACAAGGTCAAATTTGAGGACATATCCTCATTTCTTTAAGGGTCAAACAATAATGGATTCTGCAGCCTGTTACCTTGTGTCAATATGGGGTGGATTTAGCAACCTGCAATCCATGGTTAAATCCTTTAGACATCTCTGCAATTGTAGTTGAAGTTAAAAATATATCTTTATTTTTTTTATGTTTTTCCTCTTTCCAAAATGTTAAATGGGTATACGTTCCATTTCTTTAATTGTTTCTCACTTATTCAATGACCACTGAAATGAAAAGGTGAGTTATAAAATACCAATAACACTTCAATTCCTTCATACTGCTTTTAATTAGGAAGCTGTAGAAGAATTTATGAGCCTGCCAAAATTAGTCAGTCGATGGAAGCTGTAGAAGACTGTATGAGCCTGCCAAAATTAGTCAGTCGATGGAGGCTGTAGAAGACTGTATGAGCCTGCCAAAATTAGTTAGTCGATGGAAGCTGTAGAAGACTGTATGAGCCTGCCAAAATAGTCAGGCGATGGAAGGTGTGGAAGGCTGTATGAGCCTGGCAAAATTAGTCAGTCGATGGGAGCTGTAGAAGACTGTATGAGCCTGCCAAAATTAGTCAGTCGATGGAGGCTGTAGAGTAGAAGACTGTATGAGCCTGCCAAAATTAGTTAGTCGATGGAAGCTGTAGAAGACTGTATGAGCCTGCCAAAATAGTCAGTCGATGGAAGCTGTGGAAGACTGTATGAGCCTGCCAAAATTAGTCAGTCGATGGAAGCTGTAGAAGACTGTATGAGCCTGCCAAAATTAGTCAGTCGATGGAGGCTGTAGAAGACTGTATAAGCCTGCCAAAATTAGTCAGTCGATGGAAGCTGTAGAAGACTGTATGAGCCTGCCAAAATTAGTCAGTCGATGGAGGCTGTAGAAGACTGTATGAGCCTGCCAAAATTAGTCAGTCAATGGAAGCTGTAGAAGATTGTATGAGCCTGCCAAAATTAGTCAGTCGATGGAAGCTGTAGAAGACTGTATGAGCCTGCCAAAATTAGTCAGTCAATGGAAGCTATGGAAGACTGTATGAGCCTGCCAAAATTAGTCAGTCAATGGAAGCTATGGAAGACTGTATGAGCATGCCAAAATTAGTCAGTCGATGGTTGATTTTAAAATACGGATTTGTACTAAAGAATGCGTGGCCATAACCGCCGCTCGCGGGCCTCGGACAGCCCGCCAAGTTCAATATTGCGCCCCACCGGATGTATCACAATGAAATTATTACTTCCTTCAATTCGCAGATTTTTCCATTCCTGGAAAAATGCACAAATCATTTACATATTAAAAAATCACATTCATGTGACTGGATGCGTTTTGGATTCCGGCCTCTTCATTCAGCCTGTTCAAAAAATAATTTATAACTTTTCAGCAATTATTAAAATAATAGGATACTCTCAGCGACAGCTTGGAGGAGGAAACATGAATGTCAACAAGCACCTCATCAGTTCCTCTCCGGTTAAAATTGTAAAATGATGCAAAGCTTTATATATATTCAATAATGTGCCAAAATTTATAATTTCATTTTGAAGTTAGCACACGAATTTATGGGGTTGGGACTTTCGGTTAAGAGGCTTCAGTTGGCTTCTATGCTCCCCCGCGCCATCTTCATCATTCAGTTTGGCACACGACAGGCCAACATTTTACCTACAGCAAGCCTTGTTTGTGATATTTCTAAAAGGACGCATTTCAAAGTTAAGTCTACTCAACGTATATGTGTGTGGATTGTATGCGCTATGAAAGATGGATAAATCATTGTGTAACGGGTTTTGTTTGGTTTGTGGTTTGAAGGGGAAAAAAAAGTTTTTTGTGGGGGGGGGGGGGGTTGTTGCATTTGCTTTCTTTATAAGTTTTAAGGATATGCGATTAGCAAATAATTTACTGGCGATTAAAATTATCCCGTGAAGTGATTTGGACCGGGCCCTAAAATTTTTTAATCATTTTAAGCTTTCGAAGAAAGAAAATATATAAAAAGATTTAAAAATTGAGACTTCGTAACAGTAGTAACCCAGTTTGTTCAAACATCCTCTGGTCAAACATGAGAATTACCTTCCTTGTTTCGTTTCCGCTGATCAACGTAAACCATGATTGTTGTAATAATCTTTTCCCGCTCAAGCTGTCTGTGTCTTTCTCTCTCTATCCCTCGTCCTCTTTCTCTCCCTCCCTCTCTCTATTCCTCCCACTCTATCTTTCTCTCTATCTTACTCTTCCTCTCTATCTCTTTATCTCTATTTCTCTCTATCTTTCTACCTCTCCCTATATCTCTATATATCTCTATCTCTCACTATATCTATCTGTCTCTGTATCTCTCTCTTTATCTATCTATTTCTATCTCTCTATCTCTTTCTCTCTATATCTTTATATCTCTCTATATATATCTCTCTAACTCTCTCCCTAACCCTCTAATTCAATCTTCCACACTCTCTTTCTCTATCTCTAGCCATCTCTCTACCTGCCTTTCTCTCCCTACCCCCACCCTCCCTTCCTCTCTATCCACACCCGCACTCTTTCTCTTTCTCTCCCCCTCAATTTCCACCCTCTCTGTCTCTCTTTCCTTTCTCCTCTATCTACCTTTCTTCCTCTCTCAGGAGATTATTGGTTGAGGAAGAAGAAACTATTTTTTGTTTGTTTAAATATATCAGCATTTAGGACACAAAATTAAAACTTAAACAACACTCACATTAACTAAGTATATAACAAAATACAATTAACTTGGAAAGGGGAAGTTAGATTTAGACTATATTTATTTCATTCATTTTTCAAAGGCGATTTCTTTTCTTTACTTGACTTCTACTTCTTTGACAGTGGGATCGCTGAACTTGCCCTGGAACAGGATGTTTCCAGTGTCGTCGTCTCGAATGAAATACAGGAAGCCCCGGTCCACCCTGAAATCAATCGTCTTGGCACCACTCGATCCCACAGTTATCACAGCAGTCGATGCCGCAGCAGTGACTCCAGCTTCTCTCACGTCAACCACTGCCTTCTGGACAACGCGACTGATGTAGATGCGTCTATCGGTGATTCCCGAAAAGTTGGCCCTGTCGGAGAAAGCCGTCGGCATGCCCATCTTTTTCAACGACTCGGCCAGCTCCATCGAGGCCGTGAGCTTAAACTTGGGCAGGGTGACGGACATGTACGTCTCCTCCATGTTTTTAAACCAGTCGTCGGGGTTGGAGTACTCTCGCGATATTGTCTTCTCCACCTCGCCGAGTCGCTTTGTCAGTTTGGGCAGGAGGACGTAAAAGGCAAATCTATAATTCTCAAAAGGTATCCTGGCAAGGTCGGCATTGTCGAAGGCTGATTCCTTATAACCGAAGACGCCTGTCTTTTTCATTAGATCCACCTTGACAGTTGAGCCGTCTTCTCGTTTGAAGTCTCCGTTCCTTGTGTCGGCCTCGCTAAACTGCCGACTCCAGTTGCTGTTGAAGTAGATGGTGTTGACCAAGACCAGAGCGGTTCCGCTTTCGGTGAGCGAATCGGGCTCGATAATTTCTCGGATGTTGCTTTCGGTTTTGTTGGCCACCCAGCTGTTGATCGGCTCCTCGGGTTTTGCGTTGGCAGAATTGAAGACCAGCCGTTCGACGTACGCGTCGTAGGTGCGGGTGAGCTCATTCTGAGAAGAATGAAAATTGAGATCAATGTTGCTGTGAATTAATAGACTTCATGTGTCATTTTGGTTCAGCTTTTTAAAAAAGGGCTGGGTGGCCAAGAGGTCTAAACTTTCTTAAACCAAATAGCTGGTGGTCTGGAGTTCAATCCCCACCAAAGCCAACATCCCTATCACGCCGGGTGGATGGGACCCGTTAACCTTGGACGGCGACCCACCTAAGAGAAGGCATGGGACTCGTTAGCCTTGGACGGCGACCCACCTAAGAGAAGGCATGGGACTCGTTAGCCTTGGACGGCGACCCACCTAAGAGAAGGCATGGGACTCGTTAGCCTTGGACGGCGACCCACCTAAGAGAAGGCATGGGACTCGTTAGCCTTGGACGGCGACCCACCTAAGAGAAGGCATGGGACTCGTTAGCCTTGGACGGCAACCCACCTAAGAGAAGGCATGGGACTCGTTAGCCTTGGACGGCGACCCATCTAAGAGAAGGCATGGGACTCGTTAGCCTTGGACGGCGACCCACCTAAGAGAAGGCAAACTCTGCATTTAAATCAGGAGCCAGAATGATCAAGAAATTAATTGTGCGCCCCTTAAATATAAGAAGAAGAAGATTTTTTTATATCATTAAAATATTTTAAGGAACAAAGAAGTCAAAAATGATGATGGGAGTCAACAACTTACAACTTACTATACAATTTCAGCAGATTCGTGTGTGCTTATAAAATAATTAAATAATTTGAATATGCGTATATATAGTAATTAGAAAAAAAATTTACTAGTTATAACGTAGAGATAGGCAGTGTGGCTTGAAGAAAAAAACAAAAACAAAGGGATAAATAGTTTGAAGAGTTACCGGGCGTAGAAAAAACAAAGTGTTACACTTAACACATAAGTTATACCATATTAAATGATATCAATGATATAACTTTATACAATGATCGTCGATTTTCCGAAATGTACTACACATTTACCTTTTTTTTTAAATATTATTTTCGCACGCAATGAGTATGTCATGGCTCATTGGCTTACGAAGACATGGAAAAAACTCAGACCCTGTTGTAAAGGCAATGCAGAAATCAAAATACCTACTGTGCATGCCATGACCAAACATGAAAAAATGCGATTTGAAAATCATGCTAATTAAAATACAATCGCAGAAGACAAATAGCCCGTAGGATCTCATTCTACCACGCAAAGCATGAACAAAGGTTTACTTAGCGCTCAGTGTCTAATCAGCTGTCCCAAAATGTACCGTGCGGCATGCTTAAGACACGCGAAGCTGGGTGTGAAAGTAAGAGTGAGTGATGATTGACGCAGGCTCTGCTGCTGAAAATAATGAAAGACGTGTAGGCGATTGTAAAGGGGGGGGGGATATTTTATTTAAACCAAGGGAAATCTGATGAAAACGGTTCAATCAAAATACCCTGTGCAATAGAGCACCTTACGACAGAAATCTGTACAATAGAGTACCATGAAACAATACGCTATACAACAGAGCACTAAGACTATACGCATTACAAAAGTGCACCAGACGACAATACGCTATACAATGTAGCACTAGACGTAAATACGCTGTACAACAGAGTGCTAGACGTCAGTACGCTTTACAATGTAGCACTAGACGTCAATACGCTGTAAACCAGAGCTCTTGAAGTCCACACGCTTTACAAAAGAGCTCTATACGACAAGATGCTGTACAATAGAGCACCATATGACAACAAGCTGTTCAAAACAGCACCATATGACATTATGCTGTATAATAGAGCACCATACACGTGTATGGAGAGAATTATATTGTATTCTATGCGTAACATCTTCAACAAACGTTAGATGGGAATGTGAGGTAGTCCGAGAAGTAGGTTAAGTGAGAACCACTGATTACTGACATTCTACTGTCATGACAAGTAATACCTGGTAAACATCAAAGACCCTGTACTGTCATGACAAGCAATACCTAATAAATCTTCAAAGACGCTCTACTATCATGACAAGTGATACCTTATAAGCATCAAAGACGTTGTACTTCTCGTTGTACCAGGCGCTGTTGGCAATGTAAACATCGGCATCTTCCACTGTGTTGAGGTCTTTGATCAAATCACCGTGAGGCCCGTGGGGATCCTTTAAGTTCGACACCTGAAACGAAAATATAAAAACCAATCATATGTAGAATGTATTGTACTGGTCAGCTTTTCCAATCCGTCTAAAAAACTGACATATATATATATATATTTATATATATATATATATATATATATAGAGAGAGAGAGAGAGAGAGAGAGAGAGAGAGAGAGAGAGAGAGAGATATAGATATATTTAGATATATATTACAATACAACAATGCACTATTTGATACTGTATATAAATAGACTTCTCTCTCTATCTCTCTCTCTCTCTCTCTCTCTGTCTCTCTCTCTCTCTCTCTCTCTTTCTGTCTCTCTCTCTCTCTCTCTTTCTCTCTCCCTCTCACTCACTCACTCTCTCTTTCTCTCTCTCTCTCTCTCACTCTCTCTCTTTTTCTCTTATCTTTAACTCTAATCGATTCATTCGTAAACATTCTCTCAAAACGTATTAAAAAAATTAATGAAATAGCAAAACGAGGCATGTGGAGCTTGAATTAGAGAACAGGACTAAAAGATTTGGAGGTTTCGGCATAAAGCCTTCTTCAGCTAACAGTAGAAATGAAAATTTCAAAAAGAACAGATCACAGTAAACAACTCAATAAATATCCATTATTGTCGCCGTCTTTTAAGTGGGAACACAGGAAGCGAGTGAATATAAATATTGACACTGAAAAATGAGTTCCACAATAATAATGGACAAGAATATCCAGGGATGCATAAACACACAGCAATAAGAAAATAGATGAAATATAAGGAAACAGAGAAACATCAGTAGGATATTATTTGATTAATCCCATATGGAGATATGGTGCCAAACAGCTGAATAAATTTATTTTCCATTTAACCCTCTCTCTAGTGTGTACTGCATAAAAACAGTGCCGTAATGGTTACATCCAATGCACCTTAGTGTTCTTTTCTGTTGAAATGAGAAGAGACTGATGAAGGTTTGCATTGCTCAATATTCCGGAGATGTTCAGTAAACCTATCAGCCAATCTTCTCCCAGTTTCACCTATGTAACTAGATTGGCATCTACGGCGCACAATCGCATATATTATGTTACGGCTGACACATGTGAAAAAAAAAACATATAATTAAGCATTAGGCAAACATATTTGTTTTTGAGACAGTTAAAACGAATAAATTAGTTTATTTGAGCGGTTAACCTTCCTACCTGTAATACAGACTTCATCTCCTCAGCTGTACCACCTCTAGCTCCAAGGTACGCCATGGAGAGGGCGGTGTGGGCACTGTAGGGTGAGAATATGCAGTTGGGCGTGTCGGCTGATACTTCCCTGTACATCGTCTGGGCGAATTTGCCGATGGCATCTGTCAGTCTCCTGTCATTGTCATCGTCCTGTGCCTGAACCGTCGCATAACTGATGCACCCGAGAGTGACCAAAACAGCGAGCAACGTGCCAGGAGCCATGCTGAACCGAACTGGTTTTACTGGCAACAGATGCAATCAAAATTGAATTTATATGGTTTATATATCAGCCAGTGTATAAAACCTTAACGGTAATAGTTTATTGATGAAAAGTGATAATAGGATACGGGGGTATGGATCGCTTGGTGGGGAATTGATTCACATCCATGAGAAAACAGGGAAAGTGATGAAAAAACTGACAAAACAGGGGAGTAAATTGGAGGCCCCGACAAAACAGGAGAATCGGATGAAATATCTGACTAAACAGGGGAGTTGGTTGACACTACTAAAAAAAAAAGTGGGGAGTGGGTCGATACACTAACAAAAGTGGGGAGTGGGTCGATACACTGACAAAAGTGGGGAGTGGGTCGATACACTGACAAAAGTGGGGAGTGGGTCGATACACTGACAAAAGTGGGGCGTTTGTCGACTTCACTGACAAAACGAGAGAAAGAGTTGACATCATTGACAAAGCAGAAAATTGAGATGTCATCACTGACAAAACAGGAGAGTGGATTGACACCACACTGACAAAACAGAGTTGAGATTATAGCTTGAATGTTGCTGGCTGCTGTTGGCTACATCGTCTCAAACTATTTTTTTTTTTAAGATTAGACAGAAGAAATAACAAACATGATGACTCTTCATTCGAAGAACACTCATCTACGCTCAGGAAAGTATTTCTATATTGAGCAACATTCACCTGAACTGCAGATAGCCCTTTCTGGCAAAGGTGTAAGTCGGCAAGCTAATTATTGGCTAATTTCATCACTAATTAACCACATCTGGGAGGGCCACCTTCGTACAATTAGGTTGCACACGGCCCAGGCACGTGCTCAGAATTAATTAAAGTTTTGATCAGGAAAATTTGGTTTGCTTTAAGGGCACTTAAGAGCTACTCTTCTGTACTTTTGTATGAAAAGCAAGCACTTCTTTTGTTTGTTGTTTTTTTTTTTTTTTTTTTTTTTTTTTTTTTTATTTTTTTTTTTTTTTTTTTTTTTTTTTTTTTTTTTTTTTTTTTTTTTTTTTTTTTTTAAATAGTTCTTTTCAGTTAACTGACATAGCTGTCACATAGCTCCCATTAGAAATATACCAAGGGAATATTAAGAACTGAAGAACAATACAAGTAACACAATATATACAAAATCTTGTGTGTGTGAAAAAACATGCTTTTTACAAAAATGTACTAATATTTATAAAATAGATGGCCCCCAAAGCTTCAAAGCTGTTGCAGTCATATGACTAAAAAAAAACGTTGGTCTCACTCAACAAAAAATGATGATGCATTTTTGACGAAAACAATGTTTGACACGTGTATAGATTTACATTTCTCCAAGTAAGTGTTGTTATGATATGGATTATTTAATGGTGGAAATATGAGTTCTCACAACTGACTTCAGAGCCGTTCTTAGGAGTTTTGGGGCCCTAAGCATGGAGCGTAGGTTGGGGCCCCGGAAGGGGGGGGGTTTCGGGGGTGGAGCTCCCTCGAGCTGAGGAGAAAACACCACCCACCACTGCGGCACCTCCATTCTGCCAATTTCCTGTCTGCCACCCCCTGCTGCTTCCCTTCCCCTGCCTCCGAATTCAACTCAGAATGATACATTTCAGGATGAGGAAGGTAACGTGAGTGACACAGACGGCTGCAGTGCCAGTTAAAAGAAAAAACCGGAGAATCGAGGGCGCCTCACGGGGGCCCCCTCACGTTCGGGGCCCTACGTGGATGCGTAGTCAGCGTATGTCTAGTAACGGGCCCGCTGCCTTACATTATTATTGCATGCTTACACCGATCGTGGTTTTTATAAGCTAAATGAAATTAGCGATACCGCTGCGTGCGTGTCTTTGCTATTTGCAAAAAAAAAAAAAAAAAACGAATTCAGAATCCAGAGCCCGAAACGCAACATTTAAAAAAGTTCACACAATTTTCAATGGAGGCCATTGGTGACCTACTTATCGTAAAGGGTTGAATCGTCTCCGGGCATGGGTAGGTGTACAAAGATTCAGCTTAGTTAGAGAATAGGAATCGTGTCAAAATTGAGACGCAAAAATTTGTGCCGTAGAGTTTACTCAAGGTTCAATTGAGGTGAGCGGGGATTTACTGATCATGAATGTGTGTAGTGTCATCGGGTGTAACTATGTGTAAAAAAATTGCAGCTTGATTGGAGATCAGGAAGTGGGTTAAAACTGAGTTAAACAAAGAGACAAAAATTACAAGCTTAATAATAAAAAAATGTGTAAAATGGTGGACTTTTTCTTTACAGTTCACCTCTCAGTGATACCTTATAAATCCATTTATATGATAAAGAACTTTTAGCCGCAGCCAAATATGTAACGTTGCTTTACCTCTGAATTCAACACACACACACACACACACAAAGACATTATTCGAAATGTTAAGTTTCAAAGGTCTATTACTATTTGGCCTAAAGTTACAGGGTCCTATTCAAACTCTAACGCGCGGTTTCCGAATCTTGTTTCTTTGCCGCACAAGCTCTCAAATTTAAAACATTTACTGAACTCCACCCCCTAGTCTGGATGAAAAAGAGATTTAAAAATACAATTCATGTGTGGGACGCTGGATGAACGTGTGGGACGCTGGATGAACGTGTGGGACGCTGGATGAACGTGTGGGACGCTGGATGAACGTTTCGGTCTGAGCAATTTCTTACATGTCAAACCTGTGGATTGAAGTTAAAATCTCAGGAAAAAAAACAGGAAATAAAAAAAATAAATAAAACCTACCCCCCCCCACACACACACACACACCGCACTTAAATAGGAGCCAGAATGGTCAATATCTTGACAGTGGTCCCTTAAGATATAGATTGGAGTACAGAAAGAAAACCCGGTATGGAAACCCTGAAATAGAGTCCTTCAGGGGGCAACTCTTGTGCGACGCTCCTGACGCCAAGCTTTGTATCAATATACACACTTGACGTCCCCTTGGAGCCCCCAGATGCTAGGGGATTAGCTTATTCTAACCACACGCACACATACACACACGCACACATACACACACGCACACATACACTAACGCACACATACACACACGCACACATACATACACGCCCACACGCACACATACACTCACGCACACATACACACACGCACACATAGATACACGCACACACGCACACATACACTCACGCACACATACACACACGCACACATACATACACGCACACAAATAGAGAGAAAATCCCAGGTCTATTTAGTGATGTGTTTCTCATGGGTTGTACTTAACGGTTGTCTGTCTCCGTACTTAAAGTATGTTACAGACCTCACAGCCAGACTAAAGTATGTTACAGACCTCACAGCCAGACTAAAGTATGTTACAGAACTCACAGCCAGACTAAAGTATGTTACTGACCTCACAGCCAGACTAAAGTATGTTACTGACCTCACAGCCAGACTAAAGTATGTTCTGGGTTGTTGAAACACGTTAAAGGTAAAACCGAGCGCATTCCAAAAGTAAGGAAAAAAACGATGTAATTTCAAACTGTCATTTGATTAATATGACGTTAGTCATGCCTATTAGAAATGATATTGGGTAAGTTCATCTTGACACTTAAGCATTGGAATGACATGAGGCATTCCACTTTAGCACTTAATCATAACCCAACAATCGTTCTAAATTAATACAAACCAACCACACACCATGTCAAAAGTCATGTCACACCATTTTATTCTTTCGCGTGTTTAAGATTTCCAAGTGGATACCAAGACTCCAGTCTGCCTATAAAACATATGATTTTCCGAATATTTCAAATGATTTCCTCTACCTTCACAATCATGCTCGACGCAAAGGGGCCAGGGGGGCTAACATTCTGTTTTCAGAAAAAAAATGTCTTTTCATTACATCTTGAAAAGTTGTTTAGTGTGAACTTTCGACCTATTCCAGAACATTTATTATATTCTCACTTATTTCATATTTTTTTAGGATAATTCGATTTACAAAGAGTTTTTGATTTATAAATATGTGAAATGTAAATATGAAATAAATAAAACGCTTTTTTAATGAATATTTGTGTTTAAATTTAATTCCGTTTAAATTTTAACTGTGTTTCTTTACACTGCTTCATTACAAGCTGTAAGATCGTATTGATTGTTTTCAGTTGTTCTTACCTCTTACTACTGAGTCCAGATTTTTAAAAAAATCCATTTTCACCAGAATGTTAAGATAACCTATTTAAGTTACCATAGTTTTAAAAAAAAAGGAATTTAAAATCAGTGATTCTCAAAGGGTGTGCTACAACAGAGTTGTGTACCGTGATAGATTCCAGCGACTTTTTTTATAGTGTTGCCAAAAAAATAATAATTGCCAATAATCGTACTATAGTGTACCGTGACAACTCGCTATTTATAGCATAGTGCACCGTACAAATGTTTTGATAATAAAGAAAACGTACGCAGTTTAATGTGACGATTATTATACATTTTAAAAATAATAAGTAATTAAAAAAACATTAAGAAAGATCTAATTTGAAATTTTGTTTGACCACAATGACTGCTTTATTTTTCAATAATTTCTAAGAAAAATTCAATAATATTTTAATACTTAAATACTGGAGAACGCCAAAAAGTAGTGGACATTATATTTCTTAATTTTCAACTGTATTCGTTGTAGGGTCGGTCTGTTTGCCTTGGAACAGAATTAGCCCGTTGTCGTCATCTCTAATGTAAAAAATGAACGGGCGATCGGCCACGATTTTATAGGGATCCTCAAATCCATATCCACTTTTGATTCCCACATCCACGAAACTGGCAGCAGTTGCCACGGTCCCCGTCTCAACAACTTCAATCACAGCTTTCTGTACGACATCCGTTATTAGAAGACCAGCGTCGGCGATTCCCGAAAAATCGGCGTCCTTTGAGAAGGCGATGGGCATTCCTAGATTGCTTAAAGGGTTCTTCAGGTTCAGGGTGGCCGTGATGCTGAACTTGGGCAGGGTCAAGTTAACGTACTTTGGTCTGACGTCGGTGAAGAAGACGCTGTCGTCAAAGTCGTCGCCACTTATTCTGCTTTCGAGCGATGGGAAATCTGTGATGTCCCGCGGTAGGACGATGTAGAACGAGAAGTTCTCGTTCGTGAAGGGAAGTTTCACGACGTCCACGTTCCCGGCGGCGGAGAGCTTCACGCCGAATCTCCCGACACGGTTCATGAAATCTGCCTCGATGACCATTCGTTCCCTGCTCTGGAACTGGCCTTTGAAGGTGTTGTCTGGGTTGAACGGTAACTTCCAGGTGCCGTTGAAGTAAAGTGCGTTGACGAGGACCGCCGCGGTGGACGGTTTGATGTCATCGGCCTTCAGGAGGTCCTTGATGGTGTCATCGGTTCTGTCGGCCACCCACTGGTTGATGGGCACGTGCGGGCCGCCCGGCGCAGAGAAATTAATTTGCTCTGCGGTGGCGTTATAGAAGTTGACCACACTACTCTGTGGAATAGAAATATATTTATTTATTCTAGTTGAGTGAGGGAAAACTACAGCTACCTGACCTGTATTAGATCAAGGATTGAAGTGGTGGTTACCAAACATTAACGCATATATATGCATAGATTCTTGTTATTTATTCTACACAACGAAGGCATCCCATAAAAGACGTCAATGCAAATGATTCATTTTTGTCCCACAGCCGCTAGTAGTTCAATGAAGAATGCAGCTGAAGCAGACCAAAGAAATTCAAAGTGTTTCTTCTTCTTCTATATCTTAAAGGCCCATGATCAATGTATTGATCCTTTTGGCTCCTATGCATGTAGATGGGAGTTGCAATGTTTCTGTTCCAGGTGTTGATGAGGAAATTTTACTGAGGGAATCATGCACTAGGGGTTTGAAGGCTTGAGGCAATAGACACAAATGTGTCTAGTGTTGTCGCCTCAACCGTTCCTTTTGAAAGATTGTTCCAGTCCCTGATTGTCTTGGGCAGGAATGAGCAGCTCCTATACTGGCTTCTTGCTGGTATGAGCCTGAATTGTCTGTCATGGCCTCGTCGCTGTCTATGGGGGAGAGGTACGAGTTTCTGTTTAATACTGGAACAGTGGACCAGCCCATTATTTATCTTGTACATCATGGAGAGCCTGGATTGTCGTCGTCGTTTCTCCAATGGTGACCAGCCTAGTGTTTCTAGCATGCTGCCAACACTTGAGGTATTCCTGTAGCGGTTTAGGACAAAGCGTGCTGCTCGTCGCTGGACCGCCTCCAACCTGTCAATGCTCTTCTGGGTAAATGGGTCACAGACTGAAGATGCATAATCTAAAATCGGACGGATAAAGGCTTTATATGCTCTTTCTTTCACACAGGAGTTGCCAATTTTTAGATTTCACCTTAAGAACCCTAGGGTCTTGTTTGCTTGGTTACATACATTGTTAATATGCTCGTCCCAGCGGACCTCTCTTTGAATGGTAACACCCAGGTACTTTACGGAGGAAACTTGCTCAAGTATATGGCCGTGCAGTTCGTATTGGTAGTGTAGAGGAGTACAACTTCTAGAGACTGATAGTGTCTGGCACTTGACAGGGTGAAATTCCATGTCCCAGCTCATCTCCCACTCAGCTAACAGATTGAGATCCTGTTGTAGCTGGTCCTGGTCAGATCTGTTGGCGATCGTCCTATACACTGCTGTGTCATCTGCGAACAGTCTTGCCTGTGATGTCAGTTTCTCGGGTAGGTAATTAATGTATGCTAGGAACAAACAGAAGCATAGATAAACTACTTCAAAAGCATAGATTTCATCCAAATGATAAAGACAGGTAATATCAATCTGTGATGAATTTTTTATTCAATCTAGCACTGAAAAATGTTGTCTATGATGTCTTTAAAATAACAACTAAAAAAACAAAAGAAACGAATATATTTAGATAAAATAAGGTTATCAATGACATACAGATAGTTTGAAAGTAATCAAACGCTTAATTTTATTAAGCTCTGTTTTATGTTTATATAAATAGTGGACTAACATGTGTTTAGGGTTTTTAAAAAAAGACAGAAGAATTAAAAGGAAGTTTCGGCTAAACACCTTCTTTAGCAGACAATTTAAACAAGAAAAACATAAAACTAGCTCAACTTGAAAAACTCAACTGGTCCCAGATCACAGCGTCGCATTCTCACTCAAGTGTCCCCAGACCACAATGTAGCAGAGTACTTACGAGTTCCCATATCACATTGTAGCAGTCTTACTTAAGTGTTCCCAGATCATAAAGAAACATTCTCAATGAAGTGTGCCCAGATCACAATGTAACATTCTCAATGAAGTGTGCCCAGATCACAATGTAACATTCTCAATGAAGTGTGCCTAGATCACAATGTAACATTCTCTATGAAGTGTGCCCAGATCACAATGTAACATTCTCAATGAAGTGTGCCCAGATCACAATGAAAAATTCTGACTTAAGTGTTCCCAGATCACAATGTCTCATTCTCACGTAAGTTTTCCCAGATCACATGTCTCATTCTCACGTAACTGTTCCCAGATCACAATGTCTCATTCTCACGTAAGTGTTCCCAGATCACAATGTCTCATTCTCACGTAAGTGTTCCCAGATCACAATGTCTCATTCTCACGTAACTGTTCCCAGATCACAATGTCTCATTCTCAATGAAGTGTTCCCAGATCACAATGTCTCATTCTCACGTAAGTGTTCCCAGATCACAATGTCTCATTCTCACGTAACTGTTCCCAGATCACAATGTCTCATTCTCAATGAAGTGTTCCTAGATCACAATGTCTCATTCTCACGTAAGTGTTCCCAGATCACAATGTAACATTCTCAATGAAGTGCTCCCAGAATGAACGATGACTATAAGTAGACCATTGAAGACATAAGTACTCACCTTGTAATCATCACGTAGTTTAATCTGATCATTGACCCATATTCCATTAGCCGTGTAGACCACAACACCTTGGACGTAGTTCAAGCTCTCAAGAAGACTTTTGTACGCCTCATGGGGTAGCGGTAAACTTGAAAGCTACAACAGTATAATATTTATTGATTTTGAAAATCGATTTAAATTATAATATTCAAAAGGTGACGCCAACAAGATCGCATGGTGTTGCTCGGGGAAATAAAAACATACGGGATGTTTTACAACATTCTACCTGTTATCAGTGTGATTGTAAAGTCTTTCAAATCCCAAAATGCACTTTTTTCCCCAATACAAACATTAAATAAATGTATTTCATTGTGTCCCCCTTTTTCCAGTCTTTTGGTAAATATTAACGTTGTTAAAAAGAATAAGAATAATTTTAATGAAATTTTTTAAAAGCTCAACCTGTAGAACAGATTTCATCTGATCAGCTGTAGTGCCTCTAGCTCCCAGGTAAGCCATGGACAGAGCAGCATGGGCGCTAAATGGTGAATAGACGGCTACTTTCAGGTCGCTGGACAGCTCCTTGTACATCTTATGCGAGAATCGTGATGCTGAACGTATCAGGGTGACAACATCGGGGCTCGGATTCGACGAGGCCAGGCACAGATTCAAGCCGCCAAGAACGGCGGCACAAACTGCCACCAGCGTGAACATGATTGAGACGATGACAACTGTTCAAACAAGGAGACACAAACACTTAGCTGCTACTTACATAAATGACTTTAAAACAGGCCATACACATTCACATATAATACTACTGTAAGAAACGCTTGAAAAGTATGATTTGTTAATAAGTTTTTAAGACTCCATAGAGTATACAATGAGACCATTGGGGTCAGAAGGTCATTCCTATATAATGACTCAATTACCAAAATTGTTTGAGAGAAATCAATAAACTCAAATAAAAATGTACTAAATTAAAGATTAGGACTTTTAGAAAAACCGGAAAAAAAAATTTAAGACTAGGTAATTAAGTGCGTCTTCTAGTTCTTAACAGTGATGTCAATTAATATCCATGGGATTATGTCTTTTGTGCTGCCCAACAGACTGCCCCTGACTCAATATTCATTTTCTTTTTTTTTTCTTTTTTTTTTTTCTTTTTTTTTTTTTTTTTTTTTTTTTTTTTTTTTTTTTTTTTTTTTTTTTTTTTTTTTTTTTTAATTCTTTTTGTTTCGTTTCTTTTTTTTTCTAAAAAATTCAGGCATAAAATGGTTCCTTAAAATCTTCTGAAAATGTTAATAATATATTTATTTATTTTTTTATTTAAGAGTATAGTCTTAAAACACAAAATAACTGCATTTCATTTACTGCTGACACATTTAGAAAAACTTACAAAGTATTCTGTAGAGTTTGACCTACCTTCCTTTCAGCACCACTGACCGCAATGCACACGCAGCTTACCAAGTCAGCGTTTAATATAAGGGGTGAGCTTTGGCGTATTGAACACGTTGCGTTTTAATTAGGATCGAGCGATTCAGTGAGGATGCAAGAGGTAGGGTCACGTGCAGGCAGAGTGCTTCCTGCAGTGGATCCCTGGACATGCGGGATTACCCCAAAATGATAGCACTGACTATCTGGCAAGGCAGGGGTCTGACCAGCCGCATCCCAGCCGGCCGATGTCCCAACTAGGGGATCAAGGCTTGGTTGAAAAATCTCTTCCAAGAAAAATGATTAAAGAATTGGGAGCTTGCATGGTATCTACCGTAAATGGTAGCAGCTTCAGGGCTAATACAGCTATGGACATATTTGCAGTTGAAATAACGTTAGAAACGTTGGATAATGATTACTAAGTTGCCGCTGAAGGATATAATATATGAGGTGGGTAGTTTGCAAGCTTATGCCAGTGATTCAATACACACAGCCAAAGCTGAGGCTGTTACTACTAGGCAACCGTTTCGTCCCAGCTACTACGGGAACTATTGCGAAGTAGAAACCCTGTGTAGAAACCCTATTAGAGGGGAGGGGGGCTACGCTCCACCGCCCTGGGCAATGGAGTATGGGGTGCAGATGGGGGGGATGCTTAGGGGAAGGCATTTAGAGCTTTGGCTCGACGGCTCGCTAACGCTATTTCCTAATGCGCTAACGCTATTTCCTAATGTACTTTTTTCAGAAGGGATCTCGTTCTTTCCCAGGGGTGGAGGGAGACGTCATAGATGTCTGGAGGAGGAAATCCATCTTTTCACAATGTTAGGCTGAATGTAAAGGAAGCTACACCTGTGGCATTTCTGGGGTGGCCAGAGGGTTCAATAAATGGGCATAGCCTCTCGTAGCGTCACACCTCTCGTGGCACGGGTGGGTCCGTGAATATGGATTCCCTTGGTGGCCCACCTGAGCTTCAGATCGGGCCGCTGACGACATTTCTTATGGACGGTGTTCAATACGGTGATGACTTTAACCCCTCGGGCATCCAATGGCAGCCTGCTTCTCTACCTTACCAGCAGGGGAAACAGTGGGATCATAAAGAGATTTCAGTTCTTTAAAACAACGATTTTTTTTATTTTTTGCGGATTAGAGAAAGGATAATGTTTAATTAACTTTTTTGTCGACATCAACAAATAAATCTAAGTTTTTAGTGTTACTTTAATGTTGTAACACATCAGGGACCGTAAGAAACTAGCACAATCACCGTAAACTAATAAAATTTAATGGTTGTACAAATATGACAAGAATGATCATTTTTACCAACACCCCTCTCTTCCCCCTTTTTTCCGTTTCAAATGTTTTAAGTTCCCAAGCTTCCCACAGCATATTGTTAGTCGACCACGAGTGGGTTGCGAACCAAAGGCCGAGAACCATTGTCTCCAGCTGTCACACAAACGGTGACACAAAAAGTGGTGGGGGGCATATGTGCTAATGACGTGACCACAATGACGCCATAAAGGAGAGCATCGTTTTAATTAACTCGGTGGCCAACTAGACAGAGGGGGGGGGGGAACACGGATTCCTTTAGTTTAAAGTCGTTTGTTTTATTGGGTCTAACTGCCCAGGTGAAAGCGATCATCTCAACCAGTTGCTCTCAACCTTTGTTTAGCCACCACCTCCTTGGCGCCATAAAGTCATGCCTTACACCCTCTGCCAAGCCCAGCTGTGTAAAACAAAAACTAGGATCTTATTTTGAATAAAGCTGGTACATTTGGTGGAGAAACAAATCGTGTAGCTATCAATTACTTCTCAATTTTAAAAACCCAATTTGGCTATTTGATTGATTAACTTAAGAGCAATAAGATATTACAAGAAAAAAAATGATCTATTTCAGAGCGTAGATCTGCCTGACGATTTGGGTGGCATTGATAACGTGGATACTAGTTTTACTAGAGACACAATTGAAGAAAGACTTTAAAAGAAAGTTCAGTCAATTACAACGCTTAACATACAACAATATCTTTATCATAAACTTTCCTATTTGCAGGACGAGAGATAAAAAAAAATTGTATTATTAAATAGTAAAAACTCCTTCATGGTCAATCTGATTAGCTCTTGCTCTTCACACTGGCTTTAATATCCAAAACATTAATGTCTCCTGCAATCTGAAAGTTTCATTTACAATACAACAACAACTACAAAATTACTAATGGGGTATATATCCAATGGGTAATATCCAAAACATTAATGTCTCCTGCAATCTGAAAGTTTCATTTACAATACAACAACAACTACAAAATTACTAATGGGGTATATATCCAATGGGTAATATCCAAAACATTAATGTCTCCTGCAATCTGAAAGTTTCATTTACAATACAACAACAACTACAAAATTACTAATGGGGTATATTCAAACGTTTGGAAAATAATTGGATTATTGTCAGTTGCTCCCCTATTTATGCTTAGATCAGACCGGCTTTGAAATGGGTAAATGTCATGTTTGATAAGAAAAGTGAGCTTTTATTTGTTTTGTACGGCCTTGTGTATTTTGATAATCTTAAACTCATTTCTACGCGATGCGATCGATTAAAATAAATGTCGCTAATATGTATGGAAAAAAAATACAGCTTATTCCAGTAAATGTAATAATCTTTTAATTTTGAATCATGTATTGTTTCTTGTCTTCTGAAAGTGGTAAGTCTTTTTATACGCTATTTCTTAGGTGGCTCTGTCCGTTTGTTCGTTTCTTTCATTCTTTGTTTGTTAGTTTGTTCATGTGTGAACAAATCTGGCATCTCAATACATACCCACATCATGATCTCCACTTTAGCTGAAGCTTAGACTTACCCACACCTTTGTCAATCCAACCATTCATGATCAGTAGGTCACCAGTGACCACTTACAACCCGTACGAGATGTGGGAGTCTCAGCACTGGTTGTTGTTTTTTTTTCTAAGGCTGTTGTACCCTCGTCCTTTTCATTGCAAATGACTAAAAGAGTAGGTTATGGCTGGGGCAACAATGTCTTATCAAGCTCCATTTAAGAGTAGGTTATGGCTGGGGCAACAATGTCTTATCAAGCTCCATTTAAGAGTAGGTTATGGCTGGGGCAACAATGTCTTATCAAGCTCCAATTAAGAGTAGGTTATGGCTGGGGCAACAATGACTTAGCAAGCTCCATTTAAGAGTAGGTTAAGGCTGGGGCAACAATGTCTTATCAAGCTCCAATTAAGAGTAGGTTATTGCTGGGGCAACAATGACTTAGCAAGCTCCATTTAAGAGTAGGTTATGGCTGGGGCAACAATGTATTATCAATCTCCAATTAAGAGTAGATTATGGCTGGGGCAACAATGACTTAGCAAGCTCCAGTTAAGAGTAGGTTATGGCTGGGGCAACAATGACTTAGCACGCTCTATAGAAGAGCAGGTTACGGCTGGGGCAATAATGTCTTAGCAAGCTCCATTTGAGTCATACAAATTGTTAAAATGTGACACATGTTAACCAGTATACACATGCATCACTGATCGTTTACTGTGTTTTTTCCCTTTATTTACATTTTAAAATTTTATTTGGACAGCCTTTCATTTTAAAAGACAACTATTTTTACAGTGATTGGGTCAGTTCTGTATTGTAAATACCATGTGACCACACCACAATTATACTAAACTATTATGTTTCATTTGGCAAATGTCAGCTTTTTCATTTTAATATTTCACAATTTATGTTCATTTCTGTTATAGCTTATATTACTGTATAATTGTGAAGTTAGTTTTTATTTTTATTTTCCTGTGTTTCAGATGTTTTATTTTGAGGAATAAATTCTGACATTTTTACATTTTCAGTTTTTGCTGTACAGTGTTTACTTAAACATTTTTTTTAAAGTTACAATTATGTGAATGGTACATAAAGATGATTTCTTAAAGTGGGACACTTTAAAATAGGATAAAACTTGATTTTAATTCCACCGAAATTGGCTTGGCGAAACTCGATTTATTTCAAACGGAAGAGTTTCGTTTTAATAATAAATCAGTTTCTCGGAAGTTTTCATTGGTCTTAATTGTTGACTTCATTCTGGGTTGGGTCAGTCATTTTGCCCTGCAAGAGAATTAGGCCGCTGTCATCGTCTCTAATGTAAAATATAAATGGGTGATCCACTTCTACAAATATATGATCTTCCTGTATAGTCGTGATTCCTGTGGTTTCAGAACTAATGGCCCCTGGCACTGTCCCGGTCTCCAGAACTTCCAGGACCGTCTTCTGTATGACCTCGGATATTTCAATTCCAACGTCTGATATCCCAGAAAAGTCAGCGTCTTTGGAGAAAGCGGCGGTCATGGCCAAGTTATTTAATGCGTTCTTCAGTTTCAAAGTAGCCGTGACGTTGAATTTCGGCATTGTAATAGAGACGAGCGGTAAGGAAAGGTCCTTAAAGAAAACACTGTCGTCAAAGTTTTCAGAGCTTATTAAGTTTTCAAGGTGTGCAAAATCCTCGATTGTGCGTGGTAGGACAATGTAAAAGCAAATCTCATATTCTTAAATGGAAGTCTCACAACCTCCATGCCTGCTGTGTATGCGAAGCCAAACCAATCACCGTTAACCATAAAATCAACCGGTTTAACGATTCCATCTTTGGTTTTTGAAAGAGCCCCTGTACTTCACGTCCGGGTCAAACTGTGACTTCCAGGTTCCGTTGACAAATAACGTATTTACCAGGAGTGCTGACGTGTTTCGGTCGATAGACTCGGCGTCCAGCATTTCTGTGATTATATTATTATTAGGGTTTGATTAATTTGTTTATTTATTTATTTCTTTATTTTTTGCGTATTGAGTTATTATTTTAGTTCCAGTATCGGTGGTAAGATGAGTGTGAACCATAAGCGTCTCCTGCGCATGCTCGGACATTTTAAGAATCGAAATTAATTATTTCCTACCAACATCGTGTGGCCAGTACATCACTAGATAAAGCCAAAGCTTCAATGATTTTACATCATGTGACGCAAGTTTATAAGGTGCTTTTAAGTTCTCAAAAGTAAAGTGAATTGAGGTCAATGCAGAGTCATCAGTGAAGGCGTTGATATATGGACATGGACATGTGATTTCATTTAACGACATAATTTTTTGTTTAAATCTTCATTTTGCGTTTGGTTTCGAAGTAGGGTAAATACAAAGTTGGACTGTCTGTTAGATCGCAAACTGCTATTTAAAGCCATTTAATTATGCTGACAAATCAATTTAAGGAGACCTTTTTTTAAATATATCAAGACTGAATTACTTTTAGGTATATATAATTAGAGTCATGTATAAATAGAGTCATTTATAATTAGAGTCATCTCTAATTAGACTCATTTATACCCGTGGAATTTCTTATTTTGCCTTTAAAAAACTTGATTCTTCAAATGGTTTCCCGTGTGCCTCATTTCTCCTGTGCTTAATTTTATTGTGATAGCTCAGTAGTGGGTGTGTGTTGCCTTGGTTTATTGTGATAGATGATATTAGTGATATAGTTAAAACAAAAAAAATTAGTTTGTTCATTCAAAGATCATTGATCTTTTCTTAATTAAAAGATTGTGGTGAAGAAAATGTACGTCTTTAAAATAAGGAACTTAATTGAAGGCACTATTTTTAACAACTGTTTGAAACCAATAAAAATATTAATTTTAAACACATTTTAATGCAAATAGTTTTAAATATATAATTGAACTCTCTTTGAAATTATAGTATTTATTTACGTTTACATAAATGGTATTTTTTTTAATATTCAACATTTTTTGTAACAATTTGATTGTTCAAAACTTTATATACGCTTATGTGTAATTGTAATATAAAAAATTCGGAATTTAGAAAACAACAAAATTTAAAAAAAAAAAAAAAAAAAAAAAAAAAAAAAAAAAAAAAAAAAAAAAAAAAAAAAAAAAAAAAAAAAAAAAAAAAAAAAAAAAAAAAATTCAAACAATTTTTAACTATTAATAATTGATGACATGCATTAAAGTTTGAGCATTGTCTGTCCAAGGGACCGAACTCTTACGAGTAACGTACACTTTGTAATTACTTATTAGTCTACCCCTGGCATATCTCTTAATCTCCGATTAAAAGCCGTTTATTTTACACGTGAAGAGCGCTGAGATCTTTGTCAACACAAGTTAATGGAAGACAAAGTAATGGAAAGAAACGTAATGGAAATAAAAAGTAATGGAAAGAAAAGTAATGGAAAGAAAAGTAATGGAGAGAGAATTAATTGAAAGCAAAGTAATAGAAAGTCCCGGAAAGGGAGTCCCGCAGGTGGACACATTAATGCAATGAAATATCCCGACAGCTCCTGTGGCGCAACTGGTGCCAAGCTGTATCATCCATATGTGGTGTTGACTTGGGTTATCCAGTTGTGTGGAGATTGGCGAGTTCATAACAGGGCATAAAGCCGAGGAACCAGTTCATGACAGGGCATAACGCTCAGAAACCAGTTCATAACAGGGCATAACGCACAGAAACCAGTTCATAACAGGCCATAAAGCCAAGGAACCAGTTCATAACAGGCCATAAAGCCAAGAAACCAGTTTATAACAGGCCATAAAGCTGAGGAACCAGTTCATAACAAGGCCATAAAGCTGAAGAACCAGTTCATAACAAGGCCATAAAGCTGAGGAACCAGTTCATAACAGGCCATAAAGCTGAGGAACTAGTTCATACCAGGCAATAAAGCTGAGGAACCAGTTCATAACAGGTCATAAAGCTGAGGAACCAGTTCATAACAGGCCTTAAAGCTGAGGAACCAGTTCATAACAGGCCATAAAGCCAAGGAACCAGTTCATAACAAGCCATAAAGCCGAGGAACCAGTTCATAACAGGCCATAAAGCCGAGGAGCCAGTTCATAACACCATTGCAAAATTTCGAATAGAGGAAAATAGTCAGCGGCATCAATTGGTCGTCTCCTCATTGATTGTCAAAACCTAATTACGAGGCAACATCTTGTTTTATAAGTGAAGAGAGACGCTTATAAAGATACCAAAGATATAAGGCGCAAGTATAGTTAGGTTACCCTGGCTTGGGGAACTCACGCTCCGGAGGTGAGTTTTACTAATACTAAATTCGTTGACAGGCGATTTAGCTCTGTCGTGTTGTGTCTTTGGACATACAATTAAATTATGTCTTACAGTAAACTAGTTACATTTGTTATAACTTATTATATGCTTAAGATAAGAAAATAAGATAAGAATATATAATAAGAAAATAAGATAAGAAGGTAAGATAAGAAAACAAGAAATAATTACGATAATTTAAGATAAGAAGAGAAGATACAAAGATAAGATAAGATGAGATTAAATGAGTTAAGATTAGATAAGATTGGTTAATATTAGATAAGATTAGATAAGATTATATTAGATAAGATGATAAAATGTGAAGTTAAGATATGAAGATACGATGAGATAGATAAGAGAAGCTAAGATTAAGACAAGAACATAAGATAAGAAGATAAAGCAAGCATTATATTAGATAAGATGATAAAATGTGAAGTTAAGATATGAAGATACGATGAGATAGATAAGAGAAGCTAAGATTAAGACAAGAACATAAGATAAGAAGATAAAGCAAGCAATGATTCTTATAATTTACTTAGATACTACGTTGAACGTTACGGTAAATTAACAACTTAATATTTCCATTTGTGACTCTTAACTTTTGAGTAGATTTCATGGTGATGTATGCATTCGTGACACTTTCTGCCGTCATTCTTGGAGTCGTGATTATTGGCCTGGCCTCTCCCCCTCCGGATCCAAGCCCCGATGTTCTCGCTTTGACCGGGGCAATTTCAAGATTCTCTCAAAAGCTGTACAAAGCCCTGGCCAAACATGTCGATTACAAAATAGTCTACTCACCATTTAGCGCACACCTCATACTGTCCGTCCTTTACCTGGGAGCTAGAAATACCACAGCAGATCAAATGAAATCTGTTTTACAGGTTACAAGACTTTGTTTACATTTTCATTCATAAAATTCTAATAAGGGATTTTTGTTTTTCAAAACACTCAACATGTTGAGCCAATAAAGCAGAGAAAAAATGTATTCTTTTAAAAGGATATTAAAGGGAAAATGAGAGGGGAAAATGAGAGGGGAAAATGAGAGGGTGCGTTGTGGTGGAGAACATTATTATGTGCCGGGTATTTTAAAAATATCATTTTGTTTTTTTTCTATTGTTTTAGACTTCAAGTTTATCAAACTCCCATGAGGTTTACAAAAGTTTGATTGAGTACCTAAACACGGTAGCGAGAGATGTCGTATTTACTAAAATTGAAGCTGTCTTCTCCCAAGAAGACAAAGTTCTACTCAAATACATTGTAAGCATTTAAGCAACCAGTTATATCCTTAGATCTATATATCATTAGATCTAAAACGTTTTAAAGTGTAATGCGATCTGTTTGTCAAAAACGACGGATGCCTTAAAACACGGGATATTAGAATGAGCCATCAGCTCAACGTCACATTGGAGATGGCGTCGGTGGGTCGTCGAGCGCGAGCTCTTAATACCCCCTCCAGCACACCCACACACGGGCCGACTCGGGGTCTCCCCGCCGCCAGACCCGTGCGGAAGCACCCCGGAGACCTCCCACCTGGCCTGGGGGACGTCCGGTCGAATGAAAACGCTGCGTTTAAAGCGTTCGCGGTCCACTCTCCTTGGCCTTGCTTCCTCTCCGGGGGAAAGGTGTTGCGCTACCTCCCCCTACCGTCCAGGGAGTCGTCCGTTCGGGACGTAAGCGGGAACGAAACGGTCGCCTAGGAGCGGCTTTTTCAGGGCCGCGTAGCTAAAATCTTTGGCAAAGGTTCTAACCGCCACCAGGCCTCATATCCATTATCGGCAACAAGTAATCATGTTATTGCGTTAGTTGCTTTGCGTTGGAAGTCATGCAAGTGGCTGGGGTTTTTAGGTTCCGGAGAAAAGGCCTCCCTAATAGTCTGGCATGCCACGAAGAGGCAAACCCCATGTGACACCGCCGAGTCGCCTCGGTGGTGCTGAACTTCGACCTAGAGACGTGCGGTCTCCGTCCAACCAGCCATCAGCTCAACAGACGCATCTATTTATATATATTATGGGTATATATGATGATGATGAGGATTGAATTCTTTTGTAGCCCTTGTATCCGTGCTATTTTAGCATGCTCACAGTGCTCTGATGTCCTAAACTCTATTTCAAGAAAAAATTATGTTCACTTTGACCCCTTTTGTTAACAGTTTGAAATATTAATACCATCAGTAATAAAAGAAAATCAACGATCCCCAAAATGTAGACTAAACAATTTAAAATATTATTTGACTCTGAGCTTATTGAAGGATTTTTCTATAAAATATTTTTAGATAGTTCTCATGTTTTGTCCATACCGTTGTTTTTATACTTGAAATCATGAAATATAATCTATATGTTTCCCAGACGGATGTAGACAACTATTATAAGTTTACCGGCAACAGTTACGCACGGCTTCCTTCTCGAGACATCAGTTCTACAACGATTTACAACCCGCCGATAACCTTCAGCCATAAATTAGATTTTAATTGCACCTGGAAGTCACAGTTTAACCCAGGCAACACTAACAGGGGTCAGTTCAAAAACAAAAAAGGTTACGTCAAAGATATTGATTTCATGAACCAGGTCGGAACATTTGGCGTCAAACTGTCTGCAGCCGAGAACGTGGACGTCGTGAGACTTCCATTCGAGAACGAGAGATTCGCTTTCTACGTCGTCTTACCGCGCACACTTGAAGATTTCCCATCCCTGGAAGAAATAGTAAGTGCGGACAACTTTGATGACAGCATTTTCTTCAGTGGCGTAGAGGAAGCGTATGTTAACATCACCGTTCCAAAGTTTGACATCTCATCTTTTCAATCTTTAGACGACGCTCTAGAAAACCAGGGCATGGCCGTCGCCTTCTCCAAAGAGTCTGACTTCTCCGGGATAAGGGAACAACCGAATCCAATAAAGTTTGTCATGCAGTTGGCAGGGATAGAAGTCTCTGAGACCGGCGCCAACACCGCTTCGATGAGTTATGTCAACATGGGACCCGCCAGTTCACAAAACGATCCAGTGAAACTCGTTGCTGATCACTCATTCATATTCTACGTCAGAGATGACGCGAGCCGCCTAATTCTTTTACAAGGCAAGCAGACGGACCCTTCAAAGAAAATATTTCACATCGATCCTTAATATTGTTCTTGCAATATTTTTTGAATAAATGAGTTTCATTAAAATTTTATTTTATTGAAATTATTAAAATCTTAAATAGTTTTGACGATCTCTTAAATTCGACTAACTCATAAAAGTGTTGACTGCGATATAGATCTAATTAATCTGATACACAAAAAAATGTATGTAAGAAAGCAATAATAATGACTAAAATGCCTTCATCAGTACAAAAAAAAATATTAATTAATCATAATTTTAACATTCTTCATTTTAAAAGGACATTACAAATTTTAGATAACTTCAGAATGTCGCACATCTTAACCTGCTCCGGAGAAAACTGCAACCTTCTCTAGCTTATGTGGGGAGGGGGGGGTATGTTAACTTTTGATTTGTAAAGAATCAATACATTATCCATCTTTTTACATTTTTTACTGAAGCAGTTTAAGAAAGGGAATTTTCTTTTCTTTTCTTTTCTTTTTTTAAACGACATATAAAGCAAACATTCTTGTGAATAACATGTCGTCTAGACTTCAATTTTGTGAGACTGCTTTCAATTTGTAAGATCAGGAAAGACACACACACAAATAAAGAGCATGAACAATCGGATAATTTGAAATGAAACAACTAACATCAAAAACATAAGTGGCAGAAACACGAATCAAGTACAATGTTGTTAGGGGGTTTTTTTTGTTTTTTTTTTTTTAGTTTTTTTTTTTTTTTTTGTTTTTTTTTTATACTCCTAGTTGATAGAGTAAGATCCTACGTCGTGTCTAACAAGATTAAAAATGGTTTTAAACTAAGAATGGTGGTTGCAAAAAAAAAAATAATTTAAATGCAGTAAACAAAGTACCAAAGTATTTGATGAAAATGTATAAAAATGTAGGTGTCGAGAAGAGAAAGTGATGACAATAAACTAAATTTTAATGAGACACATGACCATTGACTACGGTTAGATGACATCCAGGGCAACAGTGGCCACATAGGACCACAGATAAATCTCATACAGGACCATAGATAAATTTCGTAAAGGACCATAGATAAATGTCATACTGGACCATAGATAAATGTCATATAGGACCACAGATAAATGGCATAAAGGACCACAGAAAAATTTCATACAGTACCACAGATAAATGGCATATAGGAACATAGATGAATGTCATACAGAACCACAGATAAATGTCATACAGTACCATAAATAAATGTCATACAGGACCGCATATAAATGCCTTTAGGACTACATATAAATTTCATACAGGACTACATATAAATTTCATACAGGACTACATATAAATTTCATACAGGACTACATATAAATTTCATACAGGACTACATGTATATTTTATACAGAACAACATATAAATTTCATACATATGTTGAAGCATCAATCATAAGACTGGATAATAAGATGTAAAAGTTTCGGCTCAGAGCCTTCTTCAGCGAACAAGTTAAACAAATAGAAGTATGACAAGAAGCAGAGCATATTTTAGAAAAATAACATAAGAGATCTTTCTTGTTGTTGTTTTCAGGACAACAAGATGATTGCAGAAACAGTTGGGTTTATTTAAACAGTTTGGTTTATTATAGATAATGTGGACTTATTATAGATGATGTAGTGCTCTCCCTTCCCTCGTTTCGTTTAGCATACCAGCTTAATGATATTTAAAAATCTGGCAATAGGGTGAAAATACAAAACAAATGGAGTTGTGTACCTTTGGTCGAACGATGTTCAAAGACGCTCTATCAATCAAAAAAATATGAAATGAAGCACTGAATTATTCAGTATTAGTAAACCATTACTGCCTGAAGTTAATTAATAAAGATGACACGTAAGTTTAAAGCCAATTTTGTTAGGAAATAATGTCCGCACCTCAAGAACTTTTACCCGAAAATATAACATAATTAACATATGATCCTCATTCGAATGCAAAGAACAGATGCCATGTTTTTTCCATGGCCGCCGTATTGGTTGATAGGACCAGTTGATTTTGTCACTAAACCTAACTAAATCACAAATGTATCCCTGAACCCTCAGCCTAAATATATCCCTAACCGCTGGGATAAATTAAGCCGGTTCAGGTTAGGATTAGGGATACATAATTTTAGGGTCCAATTAACAAAAAGACTATTTGAAGTATTTGGAAAACAGTAAATTGTAAATGGCCTACTATGCCTATACTATACATTTTTGTTGCAGTGAGTAACCATTGAAGTGTTTAATATTTTAATATATTAATTAAGTTCACTAAAATAATCAATTTCGCTAAAATAGGGAATTACCCTGGACTACTAACTAACTAACAGGGCTGGGGCCCCTTGGAAAAGAAATGCACTGGTAAAACACTTTATCTTTATGACATGTCCATATTGTTATTCCTCATCAAAATTTTGTCAATTCAAATGAAGCTGGTGTCCACACAGACTTTTGAAAATATTTGTATGCATGCAAAGTGCAAACTGAAAAGTCAGTTTGGCACAAGCTGCCATACTTTCCTTTCATATTTGCATGATATAAATATAACTCAAGCTCTGTTTTCTTAAATTGTTAACATTTTTCTGTTTGAAAAATTATTAAATTATTTAGGCTGGTTTTGAGTTAGCGGTAGTGTTCCACAGTATATAGGTCACGGAGGTTCCCCCAGGTTTATTTCCGTCTACAGCGCTGTCTACCATGTCATACTAAAAAGATTTCGATGTTTGCATTTACATTATGCAAGTTATTATTTTCTCATTTTAAATTTTTTGTTACATAGGGGAGGGGTCTCTATTTCTATGCTTCTTAGTTTGGTACTTAAAGGTTTCCTCCCCAGTTCCTAGAAGATCATAATCATTCCAAACGCAATTAAGCAGTAATCTTCCTTTTGTTACTCTAAGTTTCCACATACGGGTATTTTGATTTCAACTATTTGATACAGCAATTTTGGCGGACGTCTTTTTTATTCACCGGTGTTGGTTTTTGGGGTATCAACAAGGATGTATTTCTTTTTTCCTTTATTTTGCAACATGTAAGTTGAGTTTTAATACAAATTAATGGAAAATTTCATTTCAATATACTTCATATTAACCGTATCGTTTATGACGCGAGTAATGCTCAATAAAGAACAGGAATGTTATAACACGCATTGTTCAAGTCCTTCCAAGAATAGATCTATTTACCGTAAGTCCAGTGTTGGGATTCCCCAATATGACGTCATTGCGCATAGGGTGAGAAAACTCTTGGCAAAGCCCATACCGTTAACTCAAATTTTACCATTATTTAAATTAAAAAGTGTTGTCTTTTTAAATATTTGCTGAAACCCCTTCTTTATCTTTATATTTAACTGCAAAACTTGTGACTGCCTTATTTAGCCCAAAACCTTTTTATTGTAAAAGATAATGCTACCAGTACCAGATTTTCAGGAGAGATTCTCAATGCAACATGTGACCCAATAAACAAAAAACACTTTTACATAACATCAAAACTTTTTATTTTACGATGATTGTATTTAAGGGTATGTAAAGAGAAACATGAACAGAAAAATAGGAAAAATCATTATTTAAGTAAAGGCATAAATAACATGTGTACTTTAATAAATTACATGCGTCAGTTAAATTTTGAATCAATTCTTATATTTATAAAAGGTTAAGTAGAAGTCTTTTAAACAAAATAAAGTTGAATGCAATAGATCAGGCCTGCACAACTCAAAATGTAAGGCGGGCAGCAATACTTAATGAAAACCTTGTGCGGGCCGTAATACTTAATGAAAAACTTGTGTGGGCCGTAATACTTAATCAAAAACTTGTGGGGGCCGTAATACTTTATGAAAAAATTTGTGCGGTTCAAAAGATAATAATAGGACAGGGGCTATAGCTATTAAGAAAATAATAATAATAAAGAATATTTTGTTTCTTCACGGGCCGCCAAGTGGGTGCTGGCGGGCCATATGTTGTGTGGGCCTGCAATAGATTATCAATAAAAACAAATAATATCACAAACAATAAGACTAATATGAGCATACCAGTACTAGGGCATGTGGTTTAATTTCAAAAAGTAATGGGGACGTTCTGCCTGTCATTTTCTAGTTAGACTGCTCTTCAGTCTTCTTTGTCTTGTTGATGAATCCAGAATCTCTCCTTCATAAACTTTGTCTTTTTCCAAAAAGGACTAATTATTTTTTTTTTCAAATTGAATCATTTAATTAAAAATCAAATGCACTGCCACATCTATGTGTAATTAATATACAAAGTAAATTCATTGCATATGAGGCCCATGACAAATAGCCTTCCGGTACTTGATATAGGCCTTAATCCATGCTCAACATTTACATTAATTTTCATTCAGTAGCATATATGTTGTTCCTTTTTATTTTCTTCACATTTGTGTGATTGTGGCTGACCCATAACCACCATTGATGTGTTGAATTTTATTTATTGCTCATAAAAATGTAATCATTTTTCAAGTTTTGATCACACACCCGCTAATAGTTAAGTAAATGTATTCATATCTGGGAGGTACCATACAACACAGATATGTTGGTGAATAATTAATGTAGAATATAAACTTATGGTACCATACACCACATATATTGTAGTTAGTGACATAAACTTATGGTACCATACACCACAGATATGTTGGTTAATGACTAATGTAGAACATAAATGTATAGTACCATACACCACAGATATGTTGGTTAATGAATAATGTAGAACATAAATGTATGGTACCATACACCACAGATATGTTGGTTAATGAATAATGTAGAACATAAATGTATGGTACCTTACACCACGGATATGTTGGTTAATGACTAATGTAGAACATAAATGTATGGTACCATACACCACAGATATGTTGTTTAATGACTAATGTAGAACATAAATGTATGGTACCATACACCACAGATATGTTAGTTAATGATGTAGAACAAAAACTAAACTTATGGAAATCTGCAGTTTCTGTCACTGTATGGGAGATTAAGATTCATGTGACATTACTCTTCAAAAGCCTCTCAGTCCCAGAGTTGGATCGTAGCATTTTTATTATAATTATTATTTTTTGCCTCTCTAATTTATGCCTAGCTT